GTTACTAGTAGCGATGCACTTGTTCCTAGTAGCTTCTTGTTTCTAATTGCTTCGCTTCCGGGTTCCTGAAGCCGAGATGTCCACGTCCGCCGAGGTGCGCAATTTCAATGACCGCTCACGTGGACGCTTAGGACGGCGATGGCAAACAGCCCAGAGTACGGTGAACGCAGCCACCACCAAAAACGTCAGAAGAAGGCAGGCTGGCAGAAATAGCAAAGCGCCTGCACTTAGCTTCACCACATTGACCAAACAACCCCGAACAAAAATAGACACAATCCGTTTGGAGATCTTTCAGTGGAAATACTGGATTTTGTAATATATAAGGACGCTACTAGGGGCTCCTGGCCTTACTACTAGGAACAAGCTAAGAAGCTACTCGGGGCTCCTGGCATCGCTACTAGGAACAAGAAGCTACTAGGGGCTCCTAGCATCGCTACTAGGAGCAAGGACGCAAATTATCTTTTCTTCAGATTCTTCGAGAGCCGAAGACTGTCATGGACGGATGTGCAGTCGCTGTGCCCTCGCCAAGGCACCCAAGACCTTCAAATAAAGGCTTTGAGAGACGCTGGTGCCGCCGCTCATCATCAAACATTCCTTGCGGGGGCGAATGACACAATGTTTTGTATGTAAATTAAGGGGGGTAGGCCGCTAAGAGGTAGTAGCTAGGCAGCTAGTAGAAGCTAGGTAGCCAGTACCTACAAGTAAGCTACTACATTATATGGACACTGCTAAGGGCTTGCGAAGACCGTTCCCAAATCAGCCTGAATGCAGTAGGCAGCAAGCAGCAAGCATTGATCCAAACACTGCCAAACACAGGCTCAACAGCTGCTGAACTTGAAGCTCGAGCGTCTAGCGAAAATATAGATGTTGAAGGGTTCTCCAGCACATCACCAATGCCTAAGTGCAGCTTTCCAAGCATGAGCACCATTGACACCACCATGAGAGGGTAACACGACAGGGAATTCAATAAAATAACATAAAATAACAAAGTTGAATAACTTCTTCTGCTGCCCGGATGCCCAATGACAATGCGATTGGGGAGGTCAGAATTGCTCGAGTGATGCCATCTTCACCCAAGTCCTTCCGGCCAAACGCAGTTCATGGGCTGGGCTGCTCAAAGAGAGGAAACACAAATTGAAGAACAGGTGTTTGGGCAGTTTGGGCCCAATCACCTTCCTTTCTGATCTTTTCTTCCTCTCACTTTGCTCATGAAAAAGCGAAACACCGATTGGGCGGACGAAGCCGACTGGGTGGTCTGAGGTCTCCTTAATGACACCGTTGAGGTCTGTCACCTGGCGCGTTGAGGTGTATCCCTGGTGACATCTTCGGACATGGCGCACATGGAACGTATAATTAGGCCTTGAGGTGCCCGACCTAAACCCACAAAGTACTCTTTGGAACATTCAATCAAATGATGTGTGCTTAAAACATACGATTTAGAGAAAGAAATTGAGGAACATGAGATTGGAACAAAAAAAACATTCAACAACTATACCTGCTGACTCCAAAGGGCTACTTTTTTCTGCTGTTTCAAGGAAAAGCGCTTTTTCAGAGAAATTGTATCTTTTTTCGCTTGCGAGCGCTTTTGCTATTTGGCTAGTTTTATTGGTATTTGCAACCGGATCAAGATCTAAGCAGATCTAAGATGGAGAAAGATTCTACAAGATGAAACAATCGGTTGGCAAGATCAATGTTGGGAAGATTGTCAGTGTTTCTACGTCCAAGTGTCCAAGTGACATCAATTACCTCTACTCAATAAAGGCTTCACCAGCTATGTCGGTCTCCAACTGGGAGCGTGTGGCATCAATCGGATGTGTGCTGCTGACATGTTTGTGGTTCATCGTTGTGAGGCAATTGCAGCAGTGGCAGCACTTGAATAAATGTTGCACTCCGGCCATAGTAGTATTTTGAGGCTCAATCCGCTTTGCCGCTTTTACTTTAGGTGTTTGTTGGCACACATGACCAACTTAGCAGAGATGCTGGAAAATGACCCTGTGATCCGCAACATTGTCAGGGCAAAGGGAAGGATTACTAAATGGCCGGAGAACCAAACAGGGGTGCCGAGCTGCAAGAGCCTAGTCTGTAACTGCAGGGCTTTGGAGCTAGTGGCGGCGTGGTGGATTCCTCAAAGCGCTTTGCCAGCTACCTTCGGCATTCACTTGATCAGAAACCAGGACAAGTGTTGGAAATAACCATGCAGCAAATAATTATGGAAAGCCTGTATTAATTTGTAGCAAAAACATTGGATAACATCATTGAATTGCTGTCACTTTCTTGCCTGACAGGTTCAGCAGTTTCGCCAGATCTCTGGGCTGGGAGCATCGAGTGGACACGAGTCGGTCGATGCATGGGGACTAAAGAAGTTGTTCAGCCATTTGCTTCGACGCTGGCTCAGCGGCGCAGGAGCTCCACGAGTCTCTTTGCTTTCATTCATGGCTGTCTGTCTATGTTTTTGTTTTTGTTGTTTGCTTTTGGGGGAGGGTCATGCTCATTCGCGGCCTTAAACAAAACAAGGCTAGTGAACTTCAGCAAGTCTGGGGAATGCTTGATGATGCCTGGGGAAATGCCAATGTCAATGGTGCTGGTGTTGGAGATGGTTTATCAGACCCAGGGGACGACAATGATGGCTCAGGTGGTCATGCTGTCGATGATGAAAGGGTCGTGGACAGCCAGCGTTTGCCAAATGATCATTTGCCAGATGAACCCATCCTGATCGCTGACAGCCAGTACCCTGATGATCCCATCGAGTACCCTGACACCCAGCCAGATGATCCGATTGAGGACTATGACGCCCAGTTTTTGCCAGATCAACCTCCTGGTGACTGCCACGAGAATGACAGCCAGTTGCCAGATGAACCTGTTGAGTACACTGACAGTCAGTACCTGGATGAACCTCTTGAGAACGCTAGCACACAGGTGCCAGAGGAACCTGTCCTTGAGGATTGCATGGAAGATTGTGCCTATCTGTGTCACAAGCCTCTCGTGGCAGAACCTGCCTTTGAGCCTGATTACGTTGAAGATTTTATCATGCCCATTGCGACTCACCCACGTCAGACCCATGGTGGTTCTCAGGGCGATGCTCCTGATCCTCATCGTTCTCAGGAGAATGCCACTGAAGAACCCCCAAAGGATGAAATGCCTTCATCCCATCCTTCTTCAGCTGGTATTGGTGCGGTTTCTTCAGAGGCAGTTGGGAATCCCAAGACAACTCCTGCTGTCGTGACTCCTGGTCAGACCAATTCACACCTTGGCACAGGGGTTGTGCATGTTGGTGAGTTACCAAACCTGAACCTTCAGCTTCCACCTCGTGATGACCCGGCAAAGGACCAGATCCGGCAGGAAATCCTATCCAAGATCCGGCAAGTCAGGCCTGGTTTTGGAAGCTCAGCTTATTGTTTGTTAAGTGCTACTTGCATAACAAGGGTCGGTAGTAAAAACCAAACAAGCCTAGCCTGACAGCACCCCTGCAGTTTCAAGATGGCGCAGCGTGAGATGCATCGTGGAAAGTCTAGTATCGTGCCAAACTTCTGTAAGTTTTGCTGTTTGTGTTTGGTGTGGTTCTGTTTTGCTGTAGTTGTTTTAAAAGAACATGAACTCGGTCTGAAGGTATTTGCCTTGACACTTCGGACACCCTGCCGATGGACACGCAGGAGGTCCAGTCGGCGGCCGTACCATTTAGATTGGGTGAACCTATCGAGATCGATGACTCTCAAGAAGTCGAGGAGCCCATGAAGTCAGAAAAAAAGGAGACACCCTGCCTGTCCACTGCTCCTCAGATGGTAAACCACAATTGAAAAGTTGTTAGGGCGATACTTACCACCAAAGCATATGGCATGCAAAATGCAAACCACCTTTTTGTCAACAAGTTTGTTTTTTCACGGAATCCCATTCATTTCAAGCTAGGCTGAACCATGTGATGTGGTGCCTGCTGCCTCAGCGACCTTGGAGCAGAACAGTGGGAATGTGGTAGCTTCTTCCTCCTCGTCCCAGCAGGAAGCACTGCCTTCTCAAGCCTGCACTACTGGCAACCATGTTGAGGAGCCCAAGGAGGACAGCTCTTCTTTGGGCAAGTCAATGGCTGCCAAGAAGAATGCAGACCCAGATGTGGCCAAGCTTTTGGAGATGAAGGAGAGCTGCTTGCAATTTGTTGAAATTTTACTCTCAGCTTTCAACTTCCCACTGGGAAAGCTGAACTAAGGGTTGGCCTGGGTCTAAGTAAGTAGGTGTCCTTTGCCCTTGTTCGCAGGAGCCACCTTTGACTTTGCGCAGGGAGCAGTTGAATTCTGACTTCAGGATGAAGAAGAAGGGGGGCGAAACAGGCGCTGACTTGCCTGACACAGAGCAGACCAAACTGGGGGACTATGTGGAGGGAGACGAGTCGTGGGACCCAATCGTCACTCCAAAGCAAGCTGCAGCAAAAGCGAAGGCTGCAGCCAAAGCCAAGGCGAAAGCCAAGGCTAAGGCGAAGGTCGAGAAGGTATTGGCCAAAGCCAAGTCGCAAGTTGCCAAAGCTAAGGCTGTGGCAAAGAAGGTGAAAGCTGATGCAGCCAAGGCGATTCGTGAGGCAAAGGTCGCCAAAGTCAAGGGCGCTGAGGCTGAGTCTGGTTCCAAGACAACGTCTTCGAAAAATGAATGTGATGAACGAAAGCCTAAAAGGGCACGGAAGACAAAGGCTGAGGCTGAGACTGAGAAGAACAACAGCGCTGAGAAGGACAATACCGAACAGGCCAAGGAGGCTACCAAGGAGGTGAGTTCCAAGACTTTTGCTCGCCGCTACGTGGGCGCTCCAAAGATCAAGGCTATTCGTGACATCTACATGGAGCACCTTGCATCGAAGCTTGTGAAGCAGTCGGCGTTGCAGGACCAAATGGTTGGGGTACATTTTTGTTTTGGAGGTAAAAGTGCTGGCCTTTTGAGCAACAAACACTGTGTATTTCTTGCGAAGTTGTTGTGGGCGCAGGATTGCTTCTTCAAGTTGGCTTCTTCTGCTATCTACGCCAAGGCCCGGGAGAATGATGACACTTGCCAGACCTATGAGTTCTACCATGCGGTTGCAAGTGAGCAAGTGGGTGAGTTTTTGAATCTTGATGAAGTCCGTTTCTTGGAGACAAATTTCTTTCAAGTCCGCAACTTGTTGTTTTTTGTTTACGGGTTTATGGGTTATCTGAGCTGATTTGTGTGGGAGTGATGTTAGAGTCCCCTGTGATCATGTCAGGTTCATGCCTGCGTGAGCCATGAGCCTTTGTGATTTGGGAGCTGGCTCCAAGCGGGAGGGATTGCATACAAGTCTGAAGCGCAGACGTGGGAGCTTATGCATGAAACCTGTTTGGGTAGACCAGCTGACTGCTTTGACCTGCGTGATGGTGCCTGTGCGGTAGTGATTATGACTTACAGCCGGGATTTTGATTTGGACGGTTTCAATAACTTGTTGGCTTCAATGACAGGTCTCCATCCATAGATCCAAAGTTCCTAGCAGCTTGCAGTATGGCAAGGGAGTGTTCATGTGCGTTGAGGAAAAAACAACTAGTGTACTTTTCAGTCAAGGCTCACAGCAAGTTCCTTTTGCGGACACATGTTGATTTGCCAGGTCTCTGGTGATGGAGGCTGTGGGATAGATTTGCAAGGCAGCTTTGTTTCATTTGAAGGCTGTTGTTTACGAGCGTGTGGATGGTAGTCAAGTAGTCAATACAACCAATTGAATAAAATTGTTCGCGAGGATGGTCCTACGAAAGGGTCAAGCGATGCTGGCCAAGCACGGGCTCCACAGTCTTGCTGGCATTTTTGTTTTGGGTGTTGACACTCCGTTGTTGGATGCTTTCAGATAGGAGCCGAAACTTTGAATGTTTTTTTGCCAGTGGTCCACTTTTGATCAAGCAGCATCATAGCAGTTCTAGTGCCATGCGATCGGAAGAAGTAATTTTCCAAGCATGCTTGCACATGCTGGATCTTGGCGCTCCAGCGGTGTCTCAGTTCAGTTGATTTGCCTGTCAATACTTGCTAGTTTTTCTTTCTGGCAAAGGTCATTCAGGTTCGCCTATCGATCTCATCCAAGGATTTTGTTTGGCTGACTCTTCTTGCTTCATGGATCCCGGTCTCCGCAGACTTTTGCGTCGGTGGTTTGGACCTGGTGGAATTCTTTAGTGGCAAAGCTAGAATTTCCAAGACTGCATTTGCTGTGGGGTACCAGGTTAGAGCCTTCGATACAGACTATGACCATCCTCAGAAGGGTAGGGATTCTACGTTTTCTGGGGAGCAAAAGCGATCCTGTATGGACATGAATGGAGAAGCCGGT